TTAACTGAAACACAAAAGTTTTGGGGAATCCTTGGGGTCAGAAACACAGATGCAGTCCTACTCTGTCTCTCCCGCCTCTTTTCATTGTGGATTCTTTGATTGATTCATTCCTTTACTCGCAGTGGATTCAAGGACAGAGTTTTTATCAGTAAATGTCCAAACCACCATATTCTCCATATGTGTGTGTTAGTTGTTCAGTCATATCCAACTCTTTGTGACCCCATGGACTGTAGCTCACCAGGCTCTTTTGTCCATGGGATTCTCCAGGCAAGAAAACTGGAGTGGTAGCCATTCCTTTCTCCAGGGGATCTTCCCCACCCAGGGATCCAACCCAGGACTCCTGCCTTGCTGGCAGATTCTTTACCATCTGAGCCTCCAGGGAAGCATATTCTCCGTATTAGAGTCTAAAAGCAATGTTTGCGTGTTGCTAGGTTGTCATCAAAGCTATCACTTCAAAGATCTGTGAATCCATACAATAAAAAAATGTAGCAGTGACCTCCATCCTCCTCTAAAGGTTCCTATGGCATTCTTTTTTTTTTTTTTCCTATTGGCAAGAGTAGTTTTCCTGCAAATCTAGCCAGAGATCCAGAAGAATCCTTTGAAGTCACACAGCCTAACCTCTCAGTAGATGTTTGGGTCCCTATGTCCATGTCTAGCCAGCTACCCACTGAATAAAGGATCCTCCCTCTCTTGCAAAGCAGGCTGTTTCCAGTTTGAACAGTTCTCGTCTCCTCATTCATCCTTCAGCTAAGCCACAATTTGAATTTCTGGTCTTTCCATTTTTATTTTGGAGCCGCATAGAACAAAATGACTTCTACTTCTATATCAATCGTGTACTTGTATTATGTCTTTTCTGACTCTTCCCTTTGCAAGAATATTCTCAGCAAATGTGTTTGTCTGTTCATTCATTCATCAAATATGTGAGGAACCATGTGCCACCCAAGGAGCCAGGAGACAAAGGTGAATATTAAACAGTTCCCACCTTCTATAAGGTCAGTCTGAAGGAAAGATAGACTGGTAAATATATAATTTCAAAATAACACAGTGCATAGCATAGCTAAGCAGGGAAATCTAAAGAAACTCAAATGACATCTGAACCATCAGGGAGAGTGGGAAATTTCTTGTAGAGAAAGCAGTACAAGCAACGGCCAAGAGATGAGTTATCAAGTAAACTGTGCAGGAAAGAGCGAGCAATTCAGTGTTCCTGGGGGCTAAAATATAAAGGAAGTAGAGATAGTAGTTTTCTCGAATGACAAAGTCTTGAGTGCCCTCTCCCAAGATTTTTATATTTTCAGGAGAAAGCTTTAGAGCATCTTCCAGTCTGTGCTTGACTCTTTCCTTACCCCATTAATGAAGAATTGGTATTGTTGAGGTGCCAACTCTAATAAGCCCAATATATTCTAGTTGATGTTTTTGGAGCTACACCAAAATTACACTGAAGAAACTTATCTTCCCATCCTTACCTTCTGAAACCCAAGATCTTATAGAAACTGCCTCATTGGTGGCTATCGACATGACAGTGTAGTTGAGGGTACTGATCACCAAGTGCCAAACTATGGGTCTTTTCTGCTCTGCCTTGAATTCCATGAAAGCAGAAATCACTTGGTCTTAATCCCTATAGCCTTAGCTTCAAGATAGTCTCATAGGAGATATTCATACAATACAATACAGTCATCTGGTGTCAGTAGGTACTTAAAACGAAAAATGGACTCACATACACTGCTTTGAAGAACTTCATGATCGAGACTCATCCAATTATCCTTCTTGCTTTCATCGTTGTCGCCTTCTTGTCTGTTTCTTGGACCTGTCATGCACTTTGTCACTTCAGGGATCTTATGTATGTTCTTCCCTCTGCTTGGGACATTCTGTCCTCCTCCAACTCCCACCCTTACCTCCTTAAAAGAAACTAACCACGCTTCACCTTCAGGAAAAGTCCTTATGTTTGGATCTGTTAGCCGCTCCAGCACTCTGCACTTGTCTTTCATATGCCTCATAAACTGATAGATTCATGGCTATAGCTCCAAGGCTTAGCCCAGTGCCAAACACAAAGCTGATGTTTAATAAATATTTAATACATACATTGAGGCAGAGGAACCAGAGATCAAATTGTCAACATCCATTGGATCATAGAAAAAGCAAGAGAATTCCAGAAAAGCATGTGCTTCATTGACTACTTGAAAGTCTTTGACTGTGTAGATCACAGCAAACTGTGGAGAATTCTTAAAAAGAAGGGAATACCAGACCACCTTACCTGTCTCCTGATAAACCTGTATGCAGGTCAAGAAGTAACAGTTAGAACCAGACGTGGAACGTTCAAAATTAGAAAGGAGTAAGACAAGGCTGTGTATTGTCACCATGCTTATTTAACTTATATGCAGAGTTCAGTTCAGGTGCTTAGTTGTGTCCGACTCTGCGACCCCATGGACTGCAGCATGAAAGGCTTCCCTGTCCATCACCAACTCCTGAAGCTTGCTCAAACAAACTTATGCCAATGAAGTTGGTGATGCCATCCAACCATCTCATCCTCTGTCGTCCCCTTCTCCTCCTGCCTTCAATCTTTCCCAGCATCAGGGTCTTTTCCAATGAGTCAGCTCTTNTCAGATATACCAATGACACCAGTCTAATGGCAGAAAGTGAAAAAGGACTAAAGAGCTTCTTGATGAGGTTGAAAAAAGAGAGTGAAAAAGCTGGCTTAAAGCTCAACATTCAAAAAACTAAGTTTATGGCGTCTGGCCTCATCTCTTCATGGCAAGTAGATGGGGGACAAGTGGAAACAGTGACAGATTTTATTTTCTTGGGCTCCAAAACCACTGCTGATGATGACCACAGCCATGAAATTGAAAAATGCTTGCTCATTACAAGGAAAGCTATGACAAACCTAGATAGCATATTAAAAAGCAGAGATATCACTTTGCCAACAAAGGTCCATATGACCAAAGCTATGTTTTTTCCAGTAGTCATGTATAGATTGAGAGTTGGACCATAAAGAAGATTGAGCCCTGAAGAATTGTTTCATTCAAACTGTGGTACTGGAGAACACTCTTGAGAGTTCCTTGGACAGCAAGGAGATCAAACCAGTCAATCCTAAAGGAAATCAAGCCTAAATATTCATTGGAAGGACTGATGCTGAAGCTAAAGTTCCAATACTTTGGACACCTGATGTGAAGAACAGACTCATTGGTAAAGACCCTGGTCTCCCCTGGTGGCTCAGATGTTGACGTATCTGCCTGCAATGTAGGAGACCTGGTTTCAATCCCTGGGTCATGAAGATCCCTTGGAGAAGGGAATGGCCACCTACTCCAGTATTCTTGCCTGGAGAATTCCATGGACAGAGGAGGCTGGTGTTCGTGGGGTCACAAAGAGTTGGACATGACTGAGCAATTAACACTTTCACTTCTGATACTGAGAAGATTGAGGGCAGGAGGAGATCAGGGTGATGGAGGATGAGATGATTAGATAGCATCACTGGTTCAATGGACATGAAGTTGAGCAAACTCTGGGAAATAGTGAAGAACAGGGAAGCCTGGCATGTTGCAATCCATGGGATCACAAATAGTCATAACTTAGAGACTGAACAACAATGACAAATACATTAATTATTTGGCTGCTCTTAAGTAGTCAGATAATATCCAAGGAACATTGGAGTTTTTCAAAGAAAAAACAGAATTAGAAGTCAGAAGTACAAAGACATGAGATTTTAGTGGCCATGGTTAAATTATTAACTTCAGCCTTTTAGTATGTAATTGTGAGAACAACCCTCTGAAAATTCAGAGTTTTATTAGTGCAGTCAATAAAAATTGCTAAGATTTACCCTGAATTTGCAGTGGTAGTATAACTGTCAAGTTATACTTGATCTTATCTTAACACTGAACTTCTCTAATTGAGTGCCCTAATTAATTTTTCTGGATTAACAACTAACTTCTTATTCATCATCTCTTTTTACCCATGAGCAGAACTTAATCAAACAATCATAACTTTAGTAAGCTGTATTTGTTGTAAGAGTATATAGAGAAATTAAACATCCAGTGACAAGGGACTGGTTAAATGACCTTAGTGAAATATTATTTAGTCACTTAAATGGATAATTATAAAGACTTTCTAAGTGTATAAAAATGACTGAAAATATAAAGTGAATAGGAAAAAAATGGAACATAATATGGAAACAAAAATGTAGCCATGGAGATGGAGATTAAAAGAGAATATGAAAATAAGAGATAAGTGCAATGGTTTGTGAATTTGGGGGAGACTTTTAATTATGTATTGCATGTAAATTTTAGATGGTTATATGTACATTGGTTGTCAGTTACTATAGTCTACAGAAGTATGAAAGCTATATTAGAACATAAGCTGTTCAAATTTACATGCTGCAACAATAATATATTCCTTGTCTGTATCTATAGCAAATTAAAACCTACCTATTACTGAAAAGTGTCTCATGTTTGCTATGACTCTAGAAGGGGCCATTGCCTTCTGAAGTCAAAGTTCCTATTAACAAATAGGAAAATACACTTATTTGATGGATAAACAATATTAGAGCAACAATACCGGAAATAGCAGAATGGAAACACCCAAATTTCACTACTCCGTCAGATCAAATGTTTTTCACATAACCTGCTTCCATCTATTCTTTTTTGTATGTGTGTATAATTTTTATAATGGACCATAATAATCTCTTGCATTTTCTCATATTGCACAGTGTCAACTTTTATTTCATCATGACCATTTTAGTTTCTAATAAAGGCTGTGTTTCTTAGAAGCAAAAATGTAAGGCCCTTTGAATAAGCAGAAACATAAAGCACTTGAATTCTTGCAATGCAGGGACAAACCTGAGTACTTTCCCTGACCTTCCTTTGTCTGCTGATGGTGCAGTTTATGGCTTTGCATACAAGGCTGTTATCACCTGATTTCCATTTGAGTAGTAAGATGATAAGGCAGAGTACAAGGGGAACTAGATTTAGATGACAGCCACATCATTTAATGTCTACTTATTGTTTCTACAGGGGAATTCTGGCCTGGGATTCAGTATTGCTGGAGGGACAGATAATCCCCACATTGGAGATGACCCTGGCATATTTATTACGAAGATCATACCGGGAGGTGCTGCAGCAGAAGATGGCAGACTCAGGTAATGGTCTGAGATGTTAGCATTACTTGGAAAGTAAATCTGCCACATCAGTGAGACGTGTCTGTGCCTTTGGAGGATAACAATTCTCCAAAAGCTCTGTACTTGAAAGAAGAGACTGTCAAAGCAAGCTTTCTGTAATGACTTTCCAGATCTCTTGTTGAATTTCAACTAGTATTTAATTTGTGTTTGTTGACGGCTACCGCATTCAGCATTGGGCCAGGCAGTGGGAGGAAGGAATGTCATCTTTTGTTCCATGGGGTCTTCAGTCTGGCAGGAAAGAAGAATAGTATGAGCTGATGAGCAAACAATAAAATGTGTAGAAAATGATATACTGTAAGTAGTATTAACAAAGAAATGCCATATTATGCACCTTGTGTGTATTCACGGATTTGGGGTTTTCTGTAGGAGTTGGGATGGAAAGAGTCTAAAAAGGTATTCCATGAGAAGATTCCAGGCTAAGTCTTAAAAAAAATAAGAGTTCACTAACTTCACAAACCTAAACACGGAGGGAGAAAGAGCATGGGGTCCCAGCAAAGAAGGAAACCAGTTTGTCTTAGATGAAAAACACCAGGTGAGGTTGGAAGTAGAGCCAGATCCTGCTCAGGATGCAATAGTGATAGCTTGAGCCAGGGCCCGTCTCTTTAAAGAACTAAAGATTGGAACTTCCCTGGAAGTCCTATGGTTAAGACTCTGTGCTTCCATTGCAGGGGGCTCAGGTTCAATTCCTGGTTGGGAAACTAAGATCCTACATGCCATATGGTCCAAAAATTAAAAAAATAAAATCTAAAGATTATTTGTCAAAGTGAGAGTCACCCACATGGAGCTCTTAGTCAATAATATAAAATTTTATCAGAAGTCAAAACACCGGCTAAAAGAATTATAGACTGAACAATTAGGAGAGATTTCCCCTGAGGAAATGCCCCAGTATTATTTTACCATGTGCGTGTTGAGTCATATCCAACCCTTTGCGACCACATGGACGAGGACCACTAGGCTCCTCTGTCCATGGGGTTTTTCAGGCAAGAATACTGGAATAGGTTGCCATTTCCTACTGCAGGGGATCTTCCCAACCCAGGGGTTGTAACTGCTTCTCCTGTTTTGCAGGCGGATTCGATTCTTTACTGTTTAGTCATTGGGGAAGCTACTAGATTGTAAATCTCCTTAGGTCAAGCAGTTATATATAGATGTGAATTCATAAATACTTTCTGAATGAATGAGTGAATTTTTGCATGAATGAATGAGTAAAATGAGAAGGGAGAGGAGGGTAAATCAATGAGTAGGGAGAGAGGGTAGTGCAGACCAACAGTTAGGAATAGTTTTAGCTTGCATATGTGTGTATGTGTTAAGTTGCTTCAGTCATGTCCGACTCTTTGCAACCCTATGAACCATAGCCCACCAGGCTCCTCTGTCCATGGCATTCTCCAGGCAAGAACACTGGAGTGGGTTGCCATGCCCTTCTCCAGGGGATCTTCCCTACCCAGGGATCGAACCCTGTTTCTTATGTCTGTTGCATTGCAAGCAAATTCTTTACCACAAGCAGCCCCTGGGAAGCCCTTGGGTTACATGGAACCACACTGAAAACTGTGACCTAAGGGGCAGATGTGTAAGCTTCATAGCCCTTCCTCACTGTGCTTTTTTATGAAGCATGAAGAGGCCGGCTTGCTGGTTTTTATAAAGCAGCCAGGGACACTTTTTCGGTCTCCAGCTGTTCTGACGCAGTGATTATTTTTGACAGCTGCATCTTTGCAGCTTGTCAAGGAACATCACACCTTTTTTCAGGTACATCTGCATCACCTATCAGCAGAAAAGGAAATGAGTGGCACTCCCACAGGATTCACATGCTTTTTGACAATAGACCTTTCAGGCTGAATTGACAAAACTGATTTCTGGGTGAGGGGACGACATCCATGCTGCAGAATGAGAGATTCGAAATAGATGTGTTAATTCTAAGAGTCATGGTGGGGATAGTATTTGCTAATATTGGACCCTGGAGAAGCTCCATTTTTTTTTTGTTTCTTTTTTTTTTTTTTAATTTTATTTTTATTGATTTTTTTTTAGCACCAAGAAACGTTTGGTATTGGGGGTACAGCCGATTAACAATGTTCTGAGAGTTTCAAGTGAACAGCGAAGAGACTTAGCCATACATATACATGTATCCATTCTCCCCCAAACCCCTCTCCCACCCAGTTTGGCGCATAACATTGAGCAGAGTTCCATGTGCTCTACAATGTGTCTTTAGATACAGCGGTGTGTATGTGACCTTCCCAAAGTCCCCAACTGCATCTTCCCCCCAGCAGCCATGAGTTCATTTTCTAAATCTGTGAGTCTTTTTCTGTTTTGTAATTAAGTTCATTTGTATCATTTCTTTTTAGATTCCACATATAAGGAATGCCATATGATATTAGGAGAAGCTCCATTTTAAAAGTTGAGAAATAAAGTTGTTAGAGGAAACTTCAAAAAAGTGGACCATAATCATTGTTTCATACCATTCTTTACCTAGAAGTAGGGAAAGTTTCACCTCCGCCAGATTTCCACCCTAAGCATTGGATAAAATGGACTTTATGTTATGTGATTATCCTACAAATAAGCATGAAAAATGGCATCTCTGAGAGTGCCACCACTCTGCTTACGCCTGCAGAGATAAAAGGAAGTTCTGCTGTGTTGAAAGCATTATTCAGTAGTTGTAAAGAACATTATCATAATGGCTGCTAACATTTATTGAGCTTCTATCATGTGTGGAGCATTGTGCTCATGTAGGTAGGATGTGTTCAAGGTAGATAGGTTGGTAGGTGGGTGGATGGATGGATGTATACACAGACTGAAGGATAGATGGATAGATAATGTAAAGAGAGATATAGATACACACACAACATTTTCTGTACTTAAAACAGCCATATGAGGTAGTTATAGTTATTATGGCCATCATAATATGGACTTAGGAAATTAAGAATTAAGTTTTTTAAGATCACTCATCTATCTTTGAATACATTCCAAAATCTGTATGTCACTTATATACTCTCTAAACTCATGTTCATTAGTAGAATCCCCTACCTCATGGGACCTTAAACTAAAAATTCCCAAATATAAAGTTTTACACATGCTAATGGGAAATTCTGAACACTGCAAAGTTTGCTATTTTTCTACTGAGCCACAGTTGTTTTTATTATGAACTCTACCCACTGGTCTTTGTCCTGGCTTCCTGGAATCAGGGAGTGGGAATAGTATTTGCTAATATTTGACCCTGGAGAAGCTCCATTTTTTTGTTTCATTTATTTTTTTAATTTTATTTATTTTTTTAACACCAAAAAAACATTTTGTATTGGGGTTCAGACGATTAACAATGTTGTGATAGTTTCAGGTGAACAGCCAAGAGGCTTAGCCATAATACACATGTGTCCACTCTCCCCCAAACCCCTTTCCCGACCAGTCCGGCACATAACATTGAGCAGTGGGCTGTGACTGTGTGTGTGAATATTACCCGGTGAGGTTGTGCAGTGAATGATCCTGAACAGTGATCCTAACAGCATTTCTCCAGTCCACATCACAGCCTTGTTCCTGTGTGAGGACAGCTCTGGAGTGACTTTCTCCCTAGTTAGATCAGACTCCAAACTGAACTCAAGTCTCAGTGAGTGCCTCAGAGGAGAGATGTTGGAGAAAGAACGTGCTATTTGGTGTAGAGGATCTGGGTTTCAAGTTCTGCTTTCTAAGTGACCTGGGACCTCTCTTTAAGCTCTCTGTGCTCCAGGTCCCTCACTGGTAAATTGGAGGTAGGAGCATATATATCAGGAAGCTGCAGTAAAGATTAAATAAAATAGAGAGTGTGAAGAAGTTGCGTAAACTTCAAAGGCTCCCAACACCACCCAACCCAGAGAAGCAGAACTTAACTGAACAGAAAACTGAACTTAAGCCACAAGGCTGTGACAGCCAGGAAGGGACCCTGACGGAGAACAGAGCTCTAAAATGACCTTCAGAGGCCCACGTCCCCTGAGTACGGGAGGGTATGTGAGTATGGTAGTATGTCACTCTTATGATAACGTTTCTTTATATGACAAAAGAGATCCCAGATGTAATTAAGGTGCCTAATCAGTTGACTTTGAACTACTTAAAAGGGAGATTATCCCTTGTAAGGAGAAGGAAATGGAAACCCACTCCAGTATTCTTGCCTGGAAAATCCCATGGACAGAAGAGCCTGACAGGCTAACAAAGATTCGGACATGACTGAGCGACTTCACTTCTTCACTTCATCCCTTGTAAGCCTGATCTAATCCAAGGATTACCTTAAAAGTACAGATTTACATTGTAATTCAACTATACTTCATTTAAAAAGCTGATGATGATGATGATTCAAAAAGGAAGGAAAGTACAGAGATTCTCCTGCTGATCTGGATGAGGCAAACTTCCATGTTGTGAGAGGACCTGTGAGGGATCCATGTGGCAAGAAGCTGAAAGCACCCTTTATGAATGGTCCCCAGATAACAGCTAGCAAGATGGGAGATGTCGAACAGCTGAGTTCTTCTAATAACCACTTGAGCTTGGAAGAGAACCCCAAACTTCTGAAAGAATGCAGTTAGCTGACACCTTGATTGTAGCCTTGTGGGACCCAGAATAGAAGAGTCCACTAAACTGTGTCCAGATTTCTAATCCACTAAAACTCTGAGATAATAAATGCATAGTGCTTTAAACTGAAGATGTCGTGATAACTTCTCATCAAGTAATAAAAAGTTAGCATGAACTCTGTGGCTTCTGGACCCTGATATGGTGCTGTAGACGGGCTTGTCTCTGCCAGCACTACCACACGTGGATCTTCAGAAATACTGATCAAGCTTCCTGGCTAGACTCAGGCCCTTCACATGCCTGGAGACAAAATGTGAAAAGCATTCAGAAAGAAGGGAGTGGATCAGAAATAGGGAAGAAATGGTCCCTCAAGGAAAGGGACAGCAGAGACAGAGGTTAGCTGAAATACCTTGTTATAGCTGATGGCTGGAGATTTGAATCAGGGG